TTTTTCAGGTACAACCAATTTGCTCTGTTACCTGTGAAGTAATGCTCTGTACTTTTTCATGTATCTGCTTTTTTTTCTTAATTAAATTGTTTCAACTGCAGAATTATATAGCATCAACTTAGACAATAAGGTGATCATGAATGGCAGATAGACAGTGTTTTGGAAGGAGGCAGTCATGACCTGTTTGAAGATATTGACCCAGCATTTGCCTGGAGAGACTGAGAAGAACCACAAGAAACCGTGGCCAAGACAGTCATAACCTGATGTAGGTTCAAACCAGGTGCCTCCAAAATGCAAGTTAATGTGCTACAACTCCTTATATCTGCACAAAATGTAAATCCTTAAATTGCACATGAATGTGTGACTTGACATAGGCCTCTTACAATCGCTTTGGAAGCTGTAGTCTAAGGCAGTGGTATTCAACCTTTTTTGTTCACATACCCCCAGATATAATTTCTCTTTAACTTTGTACCCCTAAAGTTGTTGGTGTATAATTCAAGTTATACATAGTATATAATCTACATCTATAATAAATTAAATAAATTACATTACTAATTATTCAGTGTTTATCATAAAATAATATATATTTTTTTTAAATTTCACTTACCCTGTAAGATGTCTTCGCGTTCCCCCGGGGGGACGCGTACCCCATGTTGAATACCACTGGTCTAAGGTATACTGATGTTGTACACTGTCCTTCCATAAGAGCTGAGCTGTTGGTTTTTTGGGTTTGAGTGTAAATTTATTGTATAAATACCATATTTGTCTGAATATAATTATGCTTTCTTTCATTCAAATACCTTTTGAAATAATGGCTATGTATTACTTTCACACATTCACTTCTCTTAGTATTTTACTAGAAAATACCACTGATAGTGACATTACTTTAAATTTGTTTCAGTTTTTGGGAGGTATGTAAAGGGAAAGAAGTATACATTGTATGAGGACAAATACGGTACTTCCAGACTTGGGGCCCCAGTGCAATACAATTGCTCATCACTACAACAGTTGCTGCAGGAATGATGTTAATATGACTTGGAAAACTAAATAACTTCCTTACGTTATTTTTGTATATTTGATTTCATATGTGAAATGTGATATGTCTTCTTTTGCAGAGGACCACTTGGCTGTTGGTATGAACTTGGATGCTGCTTGTAGTACAACAGAAGTGCTTGTTCATGTTGTTGGTAGCCCTGAAATTCAGTCTATGCTAGCAGACAAAATGGTTCCTAAGAAGACAGTTTGGGATCATGTTGCAGCTGAGATGAAAAGGATTGGCTTTGACATGGGAGAAGGTGGAGGAGACAAATGTCGACATAAGTGGATCAAGACTATTAGGAATTATCATCATTTTGTCAGGACAAGAACTTTTAATATGAAAGCACATTATCCTTCATATTATGATAATTTGGAAGAAATATTAAACCAAAGAAAACAAGCCTTCTTGAATATTGGTGTTGGAGAAGGAGAACAATTGATGAATTCTCATGTTACATCAAAAATTAAAAGCAAACAAGGTGATGAGAGTTTAGATTATGTGGATGTTCGGTCACCATCTTCACCAAAACGTAGTCATCATACAGTTGATTCTTCTTATTTATCATCGTCTGATATGCCAATGTCATCTGATAGTTACGAAGATGATGGTAGTGAAGCTTTTAAAATACTCCCAGAAAACTTTACATGTAATTCTTCCTTATCAAATTATGACTATGCCTCTCAGTCAGTGGCAAAACTGTCAAGTGATGAAGAAGTCATCCTAGTTTATCCAGAAGGGTCTAAGTATTCTGTTGATTCAAAATTCATACATGAGTCTGGGGTGTCTATTGGTCATTTTGATAGTGAGGAATGTATTACAGTTTACCCTAATGCTTCAGAAGACTTAACAAATAATTCAGTTACAAAACGTTTTATGGATAATTTATATCCAGAAGAAATTTTCATTGGAGATCAAAAACAGTCTTCTTATTATTCAGTTTCCAAAAAGTCTAGAATCTTGGTAAACATAAATTCCTCTTCATCAGACCTTCCTGAAGGTACAGATAAACCATCACCAGCTCCAAGGAAAAGTAATGTAAGTACTCGAAGTCTGCCGACAGTTATTGTTTCTCCAAAACCAAACCAACCAGCACGTCCAATTCCAACTGCAGGAGAAGCTATGATGTCATTGATCATGAGGCTGTATGAAAATGAGAGGAGAAAAGAAAAGGCAAGAACAAGGAGAGCAGAAGCAAGGATACAAAACCTAGAAGTTCTTCTTGAGAAACAAACTGTCAAACAACAAGAGTTACTGAACAAAGCTTTACTGACCCTCAAGGAAATTCAGTAAGACTATTAACATTGTCATAATTATAGGCCACCAAAACAAATAAACATTTTGTATTTAAATGATGGTTTATTTCATAATATTGCATGTCCAGCACCTGTCCTTTAAACTTCATGAATTTAGATTCTTAACTTATTTATGACAGTGACAAGTTATTGATACATTTAATAGAATTTAGGATAATTGTATCATTGTTGATTACTTTGGAATTTGTATTTATGTATTACATAGAATAAATTGTGATTTGCAAAATATCGTAAATATTTTAATTCGCATATTGAGAGCTGAGTTTGTGTTCGTCTTTTATATGATACACAAAGCAACATAAAGTTGTTTTTTCACATATTTATATAACTTCAAAAACACAAAACTGATAACATACATAAGAGAATAAAAAACATTTTAATACCAAATTTGCTTCTCTCGCTGAAAATTATGCATTTGTATTTTATCAAACTGTTTGAGTCCAGATGGATGAATGAATCTAGACACATACAGATTGTATGTATATTATTAAGTTTCACATATGAATATGTTTTGTGATGTGATGAAATGAAGTAGATGATGAATCGACATAACATTTTAACTTGCTATGAATTTATATTCTGCACATTTCATATTTCCAGTGAAATTTTAGAAAATCATACTTTGTTTTAACCTATCAGTATATTTATGAACTAATTTAAAGTTTTCAAAATAAATACCTCAAAATTAATACAGAACTTTCATATATGTTTATAATATCTGTTGTCAGTAAAGTATTTTGACTTCACTGATGGTATATGACACCCACCAGTGGGTGGATGTACTGCAGCCATCAAAGTATGTCAGTGTATTAATACTTACTCTGCTTCTGTTAGCAAAACATGAAGGTTTAACATTGCTAATAGTAAAGGCTGCCCTCTGACAATCCTGAGCTAGTTCCCTCCTTGTCTCCTCTCATTACCCATTATCTTATCTCTCCTATCATAGTTACATGTGCAAACCTTCATATACTGTTTCACTACCCTAACAAAATAACAGACTTTATAAATCACAAAATTCCTCTTATGACTCCTAACCATTCTCTTAATTTTTCTTAGGTCTACATATTATTTGGATTATGATGGTGTGGAGGTAAAACGCCACATTCTACACCTTAGCACTAGACTCTGATACTGAGCAGGTTAATGGAGCAGTAACACTTTGGACTTGTGTTTAGCAAGTATTCAGTTTCAATCTCAATCCCGACAAAGATTTTTTTTGTGTTTTTCCACAAGCTATTTTAGAACTTTAGTACCCATAGAAATGTTATATATTTTAGAATTTTGATATACAAGTATATGGAAAAGGAATCTTAATTTTCATGTCTCACTATGCCACTTGTGAGTTTGGAAGTTGTTTGCGTTTGGTCACTTATCTTTCCGAGTCAAAAGTGTAAGCAGATGTTTCAGTAAATATTGCTATTTGTTTTTTTACACCTCTTTATACCCTTTTGTTTCATGCTACAGTATGTGGTTACTTTTCTTGATGAGGTTTACAGTTCCTTGTGTATAAAACCTGTTTCGGATCTCTTTAAAGACCCCACAGAGTAGTACCCTTTACATATTCCTGAAGACAGAAAGAAATATCATACTTTTTATTCAGGAAATGGAAAACCTCCAAAGAAAATTCTGTATTTATTATGCTTTGTGTAATCTGTGTGAGTCGTATTACCAAAAATGACTTGTTCTGCTCTACAAACAATATACACTCATCCTCAAACATTTCATGTAGATGGTGACTTGGTGGTGTAGGAATAGAACGCTAGACTTCTGTGCCATAGCACTTGTATTTGGGATGTGTCAGACACTGCAGATTTTACCATGAATGCTAACTTCAGGAATAACAAGCCTCCACTATGATGTGGGGCCAATATTTAGCTATATATCTCTTCTGCTGGCTATCATCATCTTCATCACTTCCTAAGCTTGAGATTAGCAGAGTCTATCTCATAGATACCTCCACCTCAGAAATGGACTTCACCACTGCTGAGATGAGCAGAGGCAGGAAGGTCAGTAATAAGAGGTATTAATCACAACAGTAATACCTCACTTGGCATTGTGAAGGAAGGTGGAGATTGTTGGATGCACACAGAAGGAAATAGTTTGAGACCCTGATGAGAAAAGACTACAGGATGTGTGATGTGCTGCCTGTGAATTCATAGAATCAGCAATGCAGGTTCTGCTAGCTTGGCCAAGATCTGATTGGCTAGTGCTTAGAGGCTGTTTTTCTGTTGCATGTTAAGGAATGGCACAGCCATATAACTTGTTGCCTCACCTTATTTTAGAATTTTTTTTTATATGTTGCTCTTTCTCAGAGTAGACATTTTAATCTTCATATTTTGTTTACCTGTTACTTGTCATATATTACTTGTTCTTGAAATGGTAATCTTAAAGTTTTCTATACACAATAATACTTATTACTGAATATGTAATAAAGTATGGAGAATAACACGAACATAGTTTATGAATGTAGACAGATCCATACATCTTTGTAATAATATACAAGTGTTTGTGGTGTGAGAGATTGAACTGTATTTTAGTGTTTCACACATAAAAATCCATTGAGAAAGACTAGCTTAGGGAATATGTTGTATCATATTATTAGCTGTTCCTAATGGGGGACTACCATTAATTATTTATTTCTGTTCCAGGAACAAAATTTGATTATCGAACAGAGAATATCTTGCCAGTTTCATTGTCAGATATCTCTGTAGCTTCATCCATTATGGATCTTACATCAAAGCTAAAAGACAGTGCAGTCGTTTCTGCCATTCCAATACCTAAAATAAGTACAAGAATCAGTGTATTCGGTAGTCCTGGGTCTGAATATGAAGGCACAAACAGCAAGTCCGGATTTGAGGCATGGAACCCAGTGATGGCAGCAGATGAGGCTACAGAGCTGCCCCCTGTGATAACAATACCACCTGAGGATTTGGTATGTGTGTAGATAGTATTTTTCAATAAATGAAGTGAGGTACTCTTGCACCAAAGCTTCAAGAATGTTGCACCTTTTTATATTTTTGGGGGGCCACTTTTATGGAAAAAGTCTTCAGGTGTTTAATGTAGACTGTATGAAAATATTAACAATATAATGAATTGTGCATTTTGTGTGACTAGGTATGCTATTAAAGATGTAGAATATTTATCAAGTGTTTTAACATTTCCTTGCAATTATATGTAGGAATGTGCCTTACAAATTGCCACCTACATTTAGTCTGTCAGTATGTAAGATACTTCATGCATTAGTGCAAAGATAGAATTGCTGCACATAAATGTCTTCAGTCTTTCTGTGAACCATATTTATGTAGCACAATAAATTGAATTTTTAGATATGTTGTGCACGTTGATATTAGCTCCTAAATAAATGTAATTTCATTGAATTAGGGTTATGTATTATACAGTTCTTAATTTGTAATGAATAAGTAAATGTGTGGATGAATGATTAAATCTATATAATTTATTGAGTTGTGTTATACACAGCATGTACTCCACATAGTTCCTAATAACTGAAGGAAAATATGAATCAAATTAATTAATTAATTAATGAGTGATTATATAAGTAAATTAAGAAATAAATAAGTACATAAATGGATAAAAATAAATATCCTAGGCCTTTATAAAGCAATAATTGTCACAGATTTCTGTTACTGTGGAATAGTGTGTTTCAGTATTAGAACAGAAATAGTGTTATTTACATAATATTCTTAAATGTTTAAATTCTAACTGAAGGTTTAAAATTAAACTTACATAGAACACATATATGTTTGTACCGTTATGCTATTAAATTATTTGTAAGTGAGAGGTTCAAAATATCAGATCACCTCTTTTGTGTTCCATATCTTCTATATGGAATACAGATCCTGGTTAACCTTCACTTTGGGTTTCTTAAATATTTATCAGAACAGTTAAATGTTGTAAGAAATAATATCATGTCTTTTTTTTTTATTACAGATTGACTTGAATGTCGAAAATGTAATCAGTCCTGGCGTGGATTGTGCAAATGCTGCACCTGATGGCAACAAAGAGCTAGAGGGGGTTTATAACCTATCCCAGCAAAGTAGCACAGGAAGTAGAAGCAGCTCTGTCCTGTCTTCTGACAATTTACGAACAGAAATTCTTAATAGGATTGGTGAACAACAATATGAAGATGTCCTTTTTAAACCAAAGCAGAGGAAAAAGAGAACTAAAACAAAACAGAAAAAAATGTTTCTCTCTGGAACTGAGTCAGGTTCAGATACCATGAGCACCAATAGTGTTCGCTCAATGTCAGATGGTGAAGATCCTTGGAGCAGTGACAGATTAGATATGAGCAGTGACTGGAGTGTATCAACAAGACCAAGTGAGGGCTTGAATAATGTGGAGTTGGACAGAAGGTCTTCCTCTGAAGAGACATTGGTGAGACTAGGTGATTGCATTAGCAGTGAAGTGGCAGTGCTTCCTGTAGAAAGTTGCAGTGAGAATGACAAGACAGTTGATGATTCTTCTACTTTGGTTGATGCCAGTGTTTCACAAAAGTCAAGTAAAGATAGGAGACCTGGTGGTCTTTGTTTAGGTGTGGAGTGTTCAGTGCCACCAGAAATACAACCAGATCTCCGAAGCCCTGCTTCAATTGAGCGGGATGTTGCCAGTAAAGAAAGAATTCTTGCAAAGGTTCTTAAGCTGGACAGTTTGTGTGATGGAGATTGTGAGATTGAAGTTTTAAATGGCAAACATACCTGTGATACAAATAAAATAAATGGGAAAGAAATGATAACCGAAGAGACAAAACTAGATTACATGGAATTACATAGTTGTGTTTTGTCTGAAGAATTAACTTGTGAAGTTAAAGATGGTGACCAAGAATCAAATGACTTGGGAAACCAGAGTGTGTCAAAAGATGATGATTCAGTTTCACAGCACAGTGATAGCATTGCAGATTCTCAAGATGAGAAACTTGCCTCATTCAATAGTATTCTGAGTTATGGACCTCCCTCTGGTAGTAGTGCTCCTCCCAGCAATCATACGTCACTTGAGATATGTAGTTCATCTGACCCCAAAGCAGAATCCAGTTGTGACATCAAGTTGTATGAAGCAGTGGAGAGAGCTGACCAGTGGATGCAGTACAAAGTTCCAGACACCATTGTGAATTTATCCATGTGTAAATATTATGTTTGCTGTGTTGATTCAAAAAATGTGGTGTATTACAGCGCATTGAGTGGTTTAAGTTTAAAGTGGCAGAAAGTGGATTATAAAGCAAAACAAGTAGCCATTTCTCCAAATGGATCCTTAGTATGGAAGTTGCATAAATGTACTGCCTATGGTTTGGAATGCCCTTCAAAAAAAGGACCATTTGGTAGAAGGTGGAAAGAACTGGAAAAGAATGTTCAGTGGATTTCTGTTGCTGACAACATTGCATGGTTCATATCAAAAGGTTCTGTATATGTTCATAAACAGCTGAGTTTTGAGCATCCTTCCAGCATAGCTAGGTTGGTGTTTTGCAACGAGCCTGTGGCCCGCATTTGTTGTTTCCGAAATTCTGTCATTGTCCTCACATGCACAGGAGAAGTCCTCTATAGGTCTGAGGTTTCTCATGTAGTACCAGAAGGGAGAATATGGGAAAAGGTCATTGTTCCATGTGTTGCTGTAACAGATATAGCACTGGGCTGTCATAATACAGCATGGGTGGTGGATCAGAAGAATTCCATCTACTTCTCATGCAATTTCACTGAGCCTAATCCTCAGTGGTGGCAGGTTAGTTTTAGTTGGTTGTTGAAATATGCTTTTGATTACCATTGGTTACTATCCTGAGCCAGATGAGTTCAGTCCACACCCTATTTTTGATACCCACTTTAATATTATCATCTTATCTATACTTAAATCTCCCAAATAGTCTCTTCCCTTCTGACAAATTTTATATACATTTCTCATCAATCCCATGCATGTTGTAAGACATGTCTCTCTCATCCTCTTATTTGATCATCCTAATAGTAATTGGGTTTGGACAGTAAATTAAACCAACACTTAAATTGTAGGGACTTATCTCTGATATGTAAACATTAAATGAAAATTCTACAGTAGTTTGTGTGAGGAATCTGAAACAGTAGGATTTATGTGACTAGAGGGTTTGTACCAAGAGATATGATGTATTCAAAATCATGTTTTCTTTTATTTTTTTAAATTGTTTATTTACGAATCAACATAAACACCAAACACTGACTACTGAAACTCTTGAGTTGTTTGTTTGTTTGTTTCTTTGAACTTTATATCAAAGGCTGTGCGTTCATCTGATTAGGAATTTTGTACTTTTGATTTGATCATTATGGTTGATGGTCGTCATACTTTTTTATATGTGATAGGACTCCCTGATTGACATATAAACCCATTAAAGGCTGAATGAAATTTTAAAATTATGTAATTATAAAATTATATACCTCCTTTCCCCCCAAGTGCTTGCGTGGTGTATAGTGGGACAGCTTTACTTTTACTTCTTTTGAGAAACAAGAAACATTGTTTTACAACTTGTAATGATGTATGCTCAGATTTGTGGCTCACTTGGCTGTGTGTGACATGCATGCCCCTTTTATAGGTGCTGATCAGTGATTACATTTTCAAACAAAAAACATCCTTGCAGCAAATACAAAAGAAACTTAAACTCCCAGAAAACTTCTGCATTCGTCAACAAGCTTCCATTATGATTGCTGCTGGAGAGGAAACAGTGTGGATAGCAAACAAAACTGCAGCTTGTATACACATGAATAAGTCAGAATTCACAGGTCAGACAACTTTTTATAAGTTAACAGTGTTTAGAAGTGTAGTGTAAGCTTGTTTTTAAAATCCTATAATTTTATTTAAGTGTGTCATGTTATTGTAAGTTATAATCAAAGACCTTTGTCATGTAAATGCAAATGTAGACATAAATAGCAATGTGCATTTACATACTTTTCATAGAGATCATTGGTATCTTCCATTGATGCTTCTACCAGAGTAGGTCATTCTCTGATAAAGTCTTTCTCTGTTTTTTTCCATCTGTAATTAATTTTATGTGCAAAAGTGAGCATCAAAACTAATGAGGAATGCGGAATTACAAAAACATGTTTTGAAAATGTGTGTTCTCCAAATTAGAGTTCACTTCTCCTTTCTTGTTACTGAATTGTGTCATTGTTTTTATAATTACAGTTTATATATTTGTGTTGTATAAATAGGTCATCAGTGGAGTGAAGTGCAGTTCGAACCTTATAGGACATCTCTGAAGTGGCAAGAAATTTGTGCAGAAGGAATATTTGAAGGCAGAGGTCAGCTTTGGCTGCTTTCCACAGCAGGCGATATATTTTCCTCTCGCCCTGCTGCACGAAATCTTCATGTATGTAACTGTCTCTTGTTTACATTAACATGTACTGTACCCTTTTAAATTGCCAGTGTACAACTCAACTAGACCGAGTTATAGTAAG